TGAGAGGTGGTAGTCGTGATGAGAGATCAGGGTGGCTGCGCTATGTTGATTGGCGTGCCTGCTTCGGTAACTGTGGTTCGCCGAGAGCATGGGCGTCTTTCATGGGCCTCGTGGTATGGATTGCCATTTGTATCTTCCAAATGACCTTCCTCTGCTGTTATGTTGACGATTGTTTCAGCGTCGGTCTCGTCGGAGACATGGCTTGGTACGAACCGTACCAGCAATACTTCCCGGCAGGCCAAACTCACTTACTCTCTCTGTGGGATTGGCTAGGTATTCCGCACAAACTTAAAAAACAAGTTTGGGGTGAGATGCTCGTTATCATTGGCTTTTTAGTCGACCCCAACGAGCTCACTGCGACTCTTCCCACAGAGTCTAAAATTGATCTTATCAATCATGTCCGCGACTTCGTCTCTTCACCACGACGTAGTCGCACCCTACACGAGTTCGAACAACTCGCCGGCTGGGTTAACTGGTCGCTAAATGTTTATCCGCTGTTCAAACCCGCACTCTGCAACGTCTACGCCAAAATGTCTGGAAAACACCGTTCGCATGCACAGATCCGTCTAAACAAGCCTCTCACACGGGAACTCCTCTGGTTCGTTGACCATGTCCAGGCTTCGTCCGGCATGCTGTTCTTCGCTAACCTAGACTGGAACCCGTACACAGAGGCGAACTTGACTATCTATTGCGACGCGTCTTTAACAGGCATGGGTTTTTGGATTCCTGAATTGAATCTTGGTTTCTCCTGCCCCGTCGAAGGTGACAGCTTGAGAGATCGAATCTTCTTTTGGGAAGCATTGTGCGTTTTAGCAGCGCTAGAGTGGTACGAGAAATCCAACCTGGCTTTCTTCGCCAGCCCTCTTTCTCCCGCACGGTTAACGATTTTTACTGATAATTCAAACACAGTGAACATCTTTAACACTCTTCGTGCACGCCCGGAATACAACGACATTCTTCTCGCTTCAGTCGACATCCGGGTACGATCAAACATAGACATCCGTGTCCTCCACGTCTCACACGACGACAATGTGGTTGCGGACGCACTCTCTCGGGACTACTTCGACGTCCTGCATGTTCTCACTCCTGATATCAAAATGGAGTCTTTCAAACCCCCTCGATTGACGCTGGGGGCAGAGCAAAAATGAAGGTACCACAGATGCGGACGCCAAGGCAACCTCATCGGGAACCTTGGTCCCGCGACAAGCTCGTTCATGAACGAGCTATAGCGCTGGGCATGGCGATTGATATTTCCACCAGCAGTAACTATGACTCTGCGCTCAATTCTTACCTTGCTTTTTGCTCAATGCACAGACTACCTGTCGACCCGACTGAGGATACACTCTCCTTTTTCGTCGTCTACATGTCGGCCCACATCAAACCCGACTCCGTAGGGACGTACCTCTCAGGAGTTTGCAATAAACTCGAGGCATATTTCCCTAATGTGCGCATAGCTCGTGGATCTTACCTAGTCAAGCGAACACTTTCCGGTTGCCGGAAGCGTTTCAAGTGTCCAGTGGTCAGGAAACTACCGCTTGCTCGTACGCACTTAACCACACTCTCATCCTCTCTTCGTCCCAACACTTCTCACGATGATCTCCTGTTCGCAGCCATGTTGTACACCGGTTTCACCGGTCTTATGCGACTTGGTGAATTATCTGTACCTGACAATGTCGCCATCAGAGACTACAGGAAGTGTTCGCGACGTTCTACCGTCATCACATTTTCGCGCGGCTACGGTTTCGACTTACCGTACCATAAAGCCGATCGCTTTTTTGAAGGCAACAAAATCCGGATCGTTCGTCGCGGTGGACTCGACCCAGCACCTGTCTTCTTGCGTTATCTCAACTCTCGCGACAGGGTGTCCCACCTCAACCCTTACTTGTGGATCACGTCGCGCAACTCGGTGCCCACAAGAACTTGGTTCATAACACGCCTACGGCAGTTAGAACCGAACCTTGACTTCGCGGGCCAATCGATGCGCGCAGGTGGCGCTACGGCCATGGCTGAAGATGGGTGCGCACCGCACCTCATCCAAGCAGCTGGTCGTTGGGCGTCAAACACCTTCCAGATCTACATCAGGAAGAACCCCATCATTCTCCAAGCCATGCTCTTCCACGGGCACGACAACGAGAATTAACACCATCTTTCGAATCATCTCCCCGACATTGGTACCCATTTAGGAGTGTTCTAATTCACGCGGCCTTTCCCTCTCTGGGAGGTCGGCTATCTGGCTACCGCGTCGGACTTCCTCAGATTGGTCGGATTTAATCTTGGATTACACAAGACCAATATGAGGTGAGTATCCAGCCTTCTCCCTCTTTTAGGACTCACTTACCGATGTCTCTACCTATAAGCCTACGGCTGGGTCCTATGAGGCGTCGTCGGTTTGTTACCCAACGGTTTTCCAACGGGTCCTAAAACAAACCGAGTGAGTTTCCCCGCCTACGGCTCATTGCTTTATCGCTAACTTCTTACAGAAACCTTGAGGCGTCGTTGGTTTGTTACCCAACGGTTTTCCAACGGGTCCCAAAACAAACCGCATGTCTCCGGCGTTCCTTCTTTTACTGTTTTCCTCCCGTGTTCACTTACTGTATATTAGTTATTGTTGACGAGCTTTTCTGGTTGATCGAGGATGCACTCGGTCAACTATCTCACGCCTGGCGGGACGCACAGCAATGCGGGTCATGTCTCGCATGACTCCAGCTCTTACCGTGTCGCCGCCAGGTACGTCTTGTAAAGACTCATTTCTTATACTGGCTCTTACCGTGTCGCCGCCAGTAGTTTTCACGTTGCCCACCCATCTTACATCATGTACATTATGTAACCCTCCCCTATTCCCTTGGCTTCCTTTTGACAAGTGATGTCATCCATTTGCAAAATCAAGCCAAGGGAATAATAGGAGCTCTAATTAGGGAGTGTTCTAATTCACGCGGCCTTTCCCTCTCTGGGGAGGTCGGCTATCTGGCTACCGCGTCGGACTTCCTCAGATTGGGCTAACTGATTCAGAGACAGCGAGCCTGGACTGAGCCTGGACAAGATCTACTTGCAATTGCAATTCGTCGCGCCATCAAGACGTCAAATAAATCGCCAACCCGATCGATGTCGTCATTCAGGCATTTTGGGTCCGTCCATCATGAACGGCGACGAGCCCACTCTCTCCCACCTTCCAGAGGACATGGACTTTGACGACGACGACCTCATAAAATTCGACTACGTCCGACACGTCCGCCTATACACCCTCTCCGTCCTGCTCACCACCGTCGCCGCGTTCGCGCTCAGCACTATACCCCTCTGGCTTCTTGCCACTCCTACATCAGGAGGATTCATACGGGCGGACGACGTGCTCACGCCTCTCGCGCTGTGGGCGCTCTCCTACACCCTGCAGAAGCACGTCGACGACTGGTCCCCGTGGTGGCGGGTCACCGCCCTGCTGCGCGCCGCGCTCCACACGCTGCTGCTTCTCAGTGCGCCCTATCTCCTGCGCTTAGCGCACCACGCGGACTTTCCATGCCGTCGAAGAGGGATGAAGCGGTGTTTGTCAGGACGTGGGTCGTCGGCACGACATGGGCGCTCGTCGAAGCCTTTGTGAGCATCCGCGGGGCGTACCGGTCTATGCGGCTATACGAGCCCCGGCCGCCTCACCTTCTCGACGACGAAGACGCAGATGACTTGGATGAGGAAGCGTCGGTTATAAGCACGAACCTGTCCCTCTTAAACACCCTCCACAAACGCGAGGAGATGGAAGCGGCGCTGGCTGGGGTCGCGTTTATCGATATCCCGCTGTTCATCCTCGCGCTGCAGAGAGTAACGATGGTGCTGTTGTCGTTGGGGACTACGCTTCTCCTGAGCGCGACGTGGTACCCGCGTATGACCTTTGGCTACAGCTTGGGCGTGACGCTAGGGTGCTTTGCTGTTCAGGCATTGATAGGGAACTTGAGGGCCCCGCAGGTTAGGGTGTATGTGGGGTTGGTGTTGGGATTGGGTGTGTTTTTTGCGGGACTTGGGGTGTGGGGTGTTTTGGAATAACGAGGTATGAAGACCGGTTTGACGAACTTATGATGATGTTTGATCTGCAATTGTATTTGTATCTAATCAGGTTATTGTTTTCACCGGGTTTCTGGTCGCATTTATCTTTCTACTGAGCGGGTCTGCTACCGATATATGTTCTAATGCGTATCTTGTTCTCAAAATCTATCACCTCTCAGCACTGGCAGCCCGTCCGAGTACCACGCTTACGACGAACAAGCGGATTTGAATATGCTACTTCGACCACGTCTACTCCCGCTCCGAAAGGCGAGTTATACAATCGCTTTGCCCAAAACTTACTTACCGTAAGCCTGTCTCCATCGAGTTCGCTATCCTCGGGCAGTCCTCTGCGTTTCTTGACCTCGGTGGTGACGGAGCGAGATACCAACTCTCTTTCTAAACATAGAAACATCTACCCGCCATTGGAGGAGCATGTTCCTTGAGACGCCGGGGCGGGGTGGCGGGGATCAACTACGCACCCACTGTGTTACATATATCTGCGTCGTAAGTTCATGGCTCGGTCTCCGACGATGGTCCAAGGCCACGACAAAAGCTGACAAGTTAGCCCTACTACACACTACACGAAACATACCGCGGAATGTTACAAGAATGCTACCTGTTCAAGTTGCCGGGGAACAATGGCAAATCAGCGCACCCTGAGATCTCCGCCCGTGGCTACATTCATGAAGTTACTCTGGGCTAAACGCCGCGGGACCCAAGCTGGGCAGTATGTAACTTTTAAAGAGTATGTTGGTTGAGGAGTGAAGGGGGGGTGTCGAGGTTATTGTGAGAAGGGGGTGGAAGGATGTGTTGGACGTCTTTCCTAACGTACATTACAGTTTATTCCTTGCTGTAAGCGGCAAAAGTAACTCAATACTAAAGTTACGACACAATAATGCCCAAGGTATTTATAGATAACGAAAGGTGTTGGGTGAGCAGTCTGGATAGCATCTGTATAAACACGCCACAGTGCATTAATGGGGTAGTGGTAACCTGGGTCGTTGCCATCGTGGCTATTGGCATGTCCTCTCTTCTCGTCGACCCGCCGGGGCTTCGATTCCCCCTTAATGCATTAGGTCAATAAGGACAAAGTTTTTACTTCTTGCCTTGATGCGCAATGATGCGAGTATAGTGCCAGCACGGCAGTCGGTCCGAGTGCCGCGCCTTGCCCAAGGACTACGACGAGCAAGCCGATTTTGAATATGCTACTCTTACTACGTCTGTTTGATGCCCTCCCGCTCCGAAAGATGAATCAACTCGGTTATACATCGCTTCGCCTATTTCCATCGAGTTCGTTATCCTGGGGCAGTCCTCTGCGTTTCTTGACCTCGGTGTGTACGGTTGTTATCATCGCGGAGCGAGATACCACTCTCTTTCTAAACATAGAATTTGTATACACATCTACTTGTAGGAACTTCCTTGAGACGCCGGGGGCG